CACACACACACACACACACACACACACACACACACACACACACACACCTGGGCACACTAAATAAGTAAATACATATTCTTTCAAAATCCAAATATACAAATTTCCAGATATTCAGAATACTTGGGGTTAGGCCTGTGGCAAGGTGTTTGGGGGTGACTGTGGCTCAGCCCTGTCCTTGTATTGTAGGAGTGTCTGCTCCACAATGGCTATGCCTTAAAGGAGCTGTCTGAACGCATCCTCACTTGTCATGAGGCCGTTTCCCACAACGCCACCTAAAGCATAACTGACATTTAAGAGTGCGCAGATCTCTAGGAAAGGAACTCAGTGGTAGAGGGCTGGGTAAGCATACTAAAGTCCCAGGTTTCAGCCACACCACCACAAATATAAACCCTGAAAACAGTGATTCTACATCAGGGGCTTTGTCTAAGCAAATACTCAGATGAGAATTTTCTATATCTGTATATCTGTGTATGTATTTATGTGTGCAGATATCTAGGCAGAATGTTCCCATGCGTATACATTTAAGTGTGTGTTGTTATGACTGGTGTAAATAAAAATACACGGTTATATAATAATAAAGAAGTTAAGTTTCTGTGGAGTATTATGCTGCTATGAAAATGATCTCATAGTCACATCGTGTAAAGATTTTTATAAATTATAATTAAGAAAATTAAATGATAGAACAGTGTGTAAGATGCAGTGTTAAGAGACACATAGAGAGAGTGGTTCCTCCCTGAAACACTGTTTTGCTGGGAGGCAAATTTTGAGATTTTTTTATTATTCCTCCTGCTTATTTACAGAAGATCTGCCATACTTTTATGATATACGCAGATGAAACTTTGTTTGTTTGTTTGTTTGTTTCTGAGACAGGGTTTCTCTATAGCTTTGGGACCTATCCTGGAACTAGCTCTTGTAGACCAGGCTGGTCTTGAATTTACTGCCTCTGCCTCCCAAGAGCTGTGATTATTAAAGGCATGTGCCCCACCACCTGGGCCAGACAAAACTTTTAAAAATGGGTGGCTACATCTTATTAAAACTTGCCTATTGCTTTAGGGTGATGAACCTTTCTCACTAACTCTCAGTTCTTGATCCGTCTTCGGTTCAAACACATAATTAATAAACTGCCACTTTTTCTGGGCTGGGCACACCTATTGACTAGAATCCGGAAGTGCTGGAAGAGCAAGGAGATGCAGGTTTGTTGGGAAGAACAGAATGTGAACTAATACACAAATCTCTGGAAAACCAGCCCTCTAAGTCTGTGTCTGTGAGTGAAGCATGCTCATATCTTCAATGAAGGGAATCAAGAGCTAACATGGGAGCTGGGAATGAAACTCAGTGGTGCGGTATGGGAGAGGAACTCGGTGGTGGGATATGAGAGTGTAACTCTGTGGTGGATTATGGGGGTGTAACTCTGTGGTGGGTTATGAGAGTGTAACTCTGTGGTGAATTATGGGGGTGTAACTGTGGTGGGTTATGGGAGTGTAACTCTGTGGTGGGTTATGGGAGTGTAACTCTGTGGTGGGGTACCTGAACAGCATAGGAAAAGCCCTGGGTGCAAACCTTAACATGAGTAAATAAATAGTTAACAGTATTATAAAAACAGTAAATCATCTCTGTTATTTGACTGGATTTGCATTCTTAGTAATAATCCCAGGCATATTTATCTCAAAAGTCCTTGGTGCTCTTGGCTTGACCACAGCTGCCAGCCTTCTAAATGTATGTGTGTATGTGTGTGTGTGTGCCTGTGAGTGTGCGTGTGTGTGTGCCTGTGTGTGTGTGTGTGTGTGTGTGTGTGTGATCTTTTAAGGGTGGTAATGAGTGGCTCAAATATTTTGAGTAATAAATCTGTAGAACATTAAAACTGAGTAAAATACAGTCCATGACCTTCCTTCCCTCTCAAAAAGCAGTCACTAGTCACTATTCATTGTTCTTACTATAGCCAGTCCACAGCTGTGCACACAAACAACCAAAGATGTAGCCCATCAGCAGAGTCCACACACAGTGTTCTCGGCAAACCTCTAGAATCCATCTCGATAGAGTGAAACTTCCTACCTCCTGAGCAACCACCACCCATCAGCTCTTTCCCCAACTCCTGGCAGCCATCGTTTGGGTTTGGGGGCTGTTTCTCCTTTAGATGCTGTAAGTGGTTCTGTAGAAAAGAAAAAGAAAGGACTGTGTATCTTAGGATACTTTATCTTATGATATCTTATCTATATTGCTACATGCTTCCTTCTTTGAAGTTGAATAGCATTTCAGTGAACATACATGCCATGTCTTGTGGTTTATTCCTGTAATAATGGATACTTAGGTTGACTGCATATCCTCACTATTTTAAAGTAATAAGCATAAAAGAAAACATTTCATAGACAATCTGACTTCAATTGTTTTGGGTAATCCCTGTTGGGGATATTCAATCACAGTGTGAACCCCAAGTTTGTGCTTGCATTAATTAAAATTAACCTTGGATCAGGAGGCTGAGTTCACAACCAGTTAACAGAAAGTTTTCATAGAGCAACAGAGGGCATCTGGGAGAGAGAGAGACATGCACTGGAAGTATCCAGTAGGGATTTGGAGTGGCATGGCTCTTTTTGTTTGACAGAGTGGAAGACTGGTATAGGAGGTCCTTCTGTCTATGTGTTGCTTTTATTAGTTAATGAATAAAGAAACTGCCTTAGCCTGTTGATAGGGCAGAACTTAGGTGGCGGGGAAAACTAGACTAAATGTTGGGAGAAGGAAGGCAGAGATAGATGTGCTGAAACTTTGCTGGTAGGCCACAACCTCATGGTGATACACAGATTAATAGAAATGGGTTAAATTAATGTAAGAGTTAGCCAATAAGAAACTAGAGCTAATGAGCCAAGCAGTGATTTAATTAATACAGTTTCTGTGTGGTTATTTTGGCTCTGGGCGGCCAGGACAAACAAGCAGCCTTCTCCTACAGAGGACACCAGCAAGAAGAGGAGGTTACTGAAGGCAGAGATATCAGGCGCTTAAAAGAAATCTCACACTGGCTCAGAACTGAGAGATAGATAGCTATTTATTTAGGGGGAAAACTTACAAATCAGGATTATCTGCTTGAATGGAGGATGGAGATCAAATCCAAAACAAGCTGAACGAGCAAACGGGAACAAGGGAGGTGGAGAGAAGAAGAGGCTGTGATGTAGGTGGGCCTTCTGTTATGTGTTATTTTTATTGGTTAATAAAGAGACTGCCTTGGCCCTCTGATAGGACAGAAAATTAGATAGGCAGAGTAAACAGAACAAAATGCTGGAAAGAGGGCAATGAGACAGACGCCATGGAACCAGCCGCCAGGTCAGACATGCTGAATCTCTCCTGGTAAGCCACGACCTCGTGGTGCTACACGGATGATTAGAAATGGGTTAATCAAGATACGAGAGTTAGCCAATAACTCTCTAGAGATAATGGGCCAGGCAATGTTTAAATGAATACAATTTATGTGTTGTTATTTCTGGGGCTAAGGTAGCCATGTGGGAGCCAGGTGGGACAAAAAGCAGGCCTGCCCACAGCTCCTCACTACAAGGCTGGACGCACTTCAGCATCTAGGTAAATAGTCTATGAGGCCACGCCCCAGTAGGCAGGTAAACCTTCCCGCAGCACCTCCCCTTTTTGTTTAAATAAGAGAGTTCTAAGCCTAATACAAGATTACAATCAATAAGAACAAATATCCTATTCTAAATAGCTTAAGTCTTGTAATAATAAATAACTTGGCCAAGTCATGACAGGAAAGTAACTACATTTATCTAGTCCTAAACCCCATCGAAGATCCAAGAAGGGAAATAATGTTACTTGAGTGAGTAGGAAGCGCAATCAAGCAACTTCCAAAACAAATGACAGAGACAACTGGCTACCTGGACAATCACCCAAAGTCTCATTTGCAACGTTGAGCAACCAACTTTGGCTAAGGCCTAGAATAACTGACAGACTATTTTTAAAGGCAAGAAATTTTTCAAAACCATCTTACCCTGTCCTGGCAAGATTTGACAGTCTTGCTTATCCATTTTTGGATAGTATGTATTTTGTCAGTGGTTGAGGCATGGGTAGTTCCCTGCCCAAAGGCTGGTTTTGCCAAGAAGAAAACAAGCTCCCAGTAGAGTGTCTTTGGTGCTCAACATTCTCTTGAGAACAGACAGGTGTTGTCAGGAGCAATCGTGTCTCACTTCAGCAGAACTCTAAGTTATTTAAATGCCATTTTCTACAGATCTTTGAAGTGGTTGAAGATTATCTATCTCTACAGAATAATAATATTAACGAATCAATCCCACACCAGTTATGTTTTAAGGGGTTATTTATTTGGCGGGGGGTAAAACTTACATACACCATAAACCGTCAGGAAGGGAGCCTAGTCGCTGGAGCAGGAGCCGGGAGCAACAGCCGAGACCGAGCACCGGAACCAAGAGCCGGAACCAAGAGGGCCTATTCCGGAACTGCTTCTCTTTTTAAGAGAGAAATATACCACGCCCCAGTGGGCTGGTATTTCAGCAGCTATTGGCTGACGGAGCGGAAGTCGCTCCCCGCTGCACTGTGGGCTCCTGCTTCAGTGATTATTGGTTGAGGCAGCGGAAGTTACTCCCACAACACCTCCCCCTTTTGTTTAAGTAAGAGAGTTCTAAGCCTACTACGAAATTATATACAGTAAGTACAAACCTACACAATTATATACAATAAATACAAATATCCTATTCTAACTAGCTTAAGTCTTGTATAAGAAATAACTTGGCCACGTCATAAAAGGAAAGTAACTACGTTTATATAATCTTCAATCCCATCAAAGATCTGAGAAGGGAAATAATGTTACCTAAGTAATTAGGAAGTGCAATCAAACTTCCAGAACATGTAACAAATCACAGAGACAACTGGCTACCTGGGCAATCACCCAAAATCACGTTTGCAGCGCTGAAGCAACCAACTTTGGCTAAGGCCTAACGTAACTGACATACCATTTTCAAAGGCAAGGAACTTTTCAAAACTATCTTATCCTGTCTTGGCAGGATATGACAGTCCTGTTTTATCCATTTACGGATACTCTGTAACTCTGTCAGTAGTTGAGGTATGGGCATTTCTTTACCCAAAGGCCAGTTCTGCCAAGAAGAAAGGCTCCAGGTGGAGTGTCTTTGGTGCTCAACATTCTCTCGGGAATAGATCAGTGTTGCCAGGAGCTATTGTGTCTCCCTACCACAGAACTCTGTGTTAGATTAAAGGCCATTTTCTACAGCTCTTTGAAGAGGTTGAAGATTATCTATCTATACTGAATATAATCTCTATGTATCTAAAGAACCTGATTAGTCTAATTATAAATGACAAACTTAGATGACTATTGATCTATATTATTCTCAATATCTATCTAACTTAAAGACTGAAATAGTAAACAACTGTGCAATAAATGGGGACAATATGACCTCCAAATATAAACAATGTGCAAGTATACATTGCAATATGGTAAATATATATATCAATACATAAACAATATATAAGTATCTTAATCAGAGGTAGAAGTGTACAATGCAATATGGTAAAATATACATATATCAATACAATATATATATGTCAATACATAAAAATGTTTTAAACAGAGGTAGAAGCATGTATGCATAAAATAGTCAACATAATTTAACTTTGTATCAATATATAAGAATCAATACCAATATATTTGTCAAAAACAATAACTCACAAGTACAAAGCTATTATCCCATAATCCAATTATCCCTCTTTTTTTTTTTTTTTGATCCCTGCGCTTATAAAATTCCTCCCCCAACCCTCAACCCTATACTAATTATAACCAACCCCTAAATGATGTCCCTAAACCCAAGGACAAACTTTACTGGGAGAGGGGACGTCGTTCTCTAGAATTACTTCCAGCTGTCATGGGGGCGACGTTCTTTCTGGGGGATCCTGTGAAAGTAAAATGATGGTTAAATTTCAAGATCAATGTCTTTTAAAATTGCAAATAGTCTCTGAGTATTTTGTGGAGGTCTGGCCAGAATGTTGTACAAGATGTGCATCATTTCAGCTAACCACGTTGGCATCGTCTTGTGCAGCTGGTACTCAAAACAGGTCTTGTAGTAGCGCTATCAGTATCATGATGTCATATCAACCAGGTGGAGTTGTTGTTATGGGGCCCCATCTTCTTCCTGGAAACTTCAAATGTCACTGTAGGAAAAACTTATTGTTCATTGTGGAAAAATTAAACATTAATCATATATATTAATCATATATTAATATCATATATTATATGATTATAATAATATATAATCGTATATTAATCATATAGACATATACAGACATACATATATTCAATGAAAGACATGATAGATATATTCACTGAAAGGTATGATAGATATGAAGAAAAGTAAAAATGTTTTCTAAACTCATATTTCTTTCTGTCCCATATCATGGCTCTTGACATGAGACAGAAACTCCAGAAATTCTGGGTTTTTCTTTTAACAACAGGCTTGGAATTAGAGAGGGACTGAGCCAGAGTCCAACTCTAAAACCAGCTCTATAAATTTAGAAATATGATTTAGTATATTTTACTTACAGAACCTATTCAGTTTTCTTGATAGTCCTTATTGTGCCATTATTTTCCATCTGTCAGTATTCAGATATCCAGGGTCCCTTGAACTTTTCAAAAATCAGTGTTTTCCTGTGGAGATAAGAACAGAACCCTGCCCCCATTCTATATGTTTTTCTTACCAACTATGAATATCATCATTGTGGATAAGCTGTCATTTCTCCTTTCCAAGAGGTTTCTCCTCTTCAAACCGAACCTTTATTAATTTTGATGGTATCCACAATTTTTCTTCTCCTGTGGAAACAAGAGCAAAACCCCTTCCCCAACGCAGCACATCTCCTGGCCTCCATTGAGAGGTCAGCACGTCTTTGAAATAAACAGGTTGGTTTAGTTCAGAAGTTTTTTCCATTATCCAATGCCTCTCTGCTGCTGTTGTTCCTTTCTCATTAGCATTAAGAAAATTCAAGGTTAATAAAGCATTATGCAATCTATTTCTGGGGGTATCTTTCATCCCTTTCTGTTTGTTTAGCATATCCTTTATAGTACGATTTGATCTTTCTATAACTGCTTGACCTGTAGGATTGTATGGTATACCTGTAACATGCTTAATATTATAATAA